AAAAAAAAAAAAAAAAAAAGAACAAAGACATGGATATATAATTGCAAGTAAATCTCACTATAGATCAAGGGTTAAATAACTTTTTCTTTAAAGGGTCAGACAGTAAATACTTCAGGCTTTGCAGGCCATAAATCTCTACATGTAGCTCGACTCTGCCACTGCAATATAAAAATGGCCATATATAATATGTAAATGAAGAAGTATTCCTGTGGATACTGATTGAAAGCTGAATTTCATATAATCTTTATGTGTCACAAAATCTCTTCACTTTTTTGCCAACCACTAAAAAATGTAAAAACAACCTGTAGCTCAAGAATATTAAAAGAATAGGCAGTAGACCAGATTTACCCATGAACCATAGTTTGCCAATGCCTGCTCTAAATCCTTTTCTGGAAATGTTTATTTTTTTTTAAAAAAAGTGGAGGAAAGAAGTTGGCCTCTAAATTCTTGATGAGATCACTCACAGGAAATTGCTCTCTCAGTAGCGCAATATGGTTCATATGCTAACTCTAAAATGCCTACCTTGCTGTTATCTGACACTTAGGTCTACGTGAATAGAATTATTTTCCATTTTTGAGGCCTAATGACTATACTTCGAGGCTGCATTTTCACATACATTGAGAGACTCATTTAGACTCACTTGCAGGTTTTGAAATTCTTAATTTCAGTAATTGTAATTATTTGTAAGGATTAATAGTTTACAACTTTTTTTGTTCTTTGTTCTTTTTAAAATATAATCTTGGTATGGATATTTTATGACATGTAAAGTAACAATTTAAAGGCCAGGAGTGGCAGCTCATGCCTATAATCCCAGTAATTTGCAAAGCCAATGTGGGACGATAACCTGAGGCCAGGAGATCTGGTCTAGGAAACAGTGAGATCCGATGTCTAAAAAAGGAAAAAAAAAAAAAAAAAAAATTGGGCCGAGTGCGGTGGCTCGCAGATCATCTGAGGTCAGGAGTTTGATACCACCCTGGCTAACATGGGTAAAACCCGTCTCTACTAGAAACACAAAAATTGGCTGGGCATGGTGGCATGTGCCTGTAGTCCCAAGCTACTCGGTAGGGTGAGACAGGAGAACTGCTTGAACCCAGGAGGCAGAGGTTACAGTGAGCCGAGATCACGCCACTGCACTCCAGCATGAGTGACAGAGTGAGACTCCATCTCAAAAAACAAAAAAACAAAAAAAACAAAACAAAACCAACCTTCAGAAGCAGTGAATATTTTATGACTTATTTCCCTTTTTAGAAAGGTCTTCCAAAGTTCAAAACGAAAATATACTTATTTAAAAAAATAAAATTCAAGCCAAGTGTGGTAGCTCACACCTGTAATCCCAGCACCTTGGGAGACTGAGGTGGGTGGATTGTTTTGAATTCAGAAGTTCAGGACCAGCCTGGGCAACATAGTGAAACCTCAACTCTACAAAAAAAAAAATACAAAAATCAGCCAGGCGTTGTTGGTGGCTCATGTCTGTAATCCCAGCTACTTAGGAGACTGAGGCGGGAGAATCACTTCAGCCCAGGAAGCGGAGGTTGCAGTGAGCCAAAATTGCACCACTGCACTCCAGCCCTGGGTCACAGAGTGAGACCCTGTCTCAAACAAACAAACAAACAAAGAACAAAACTCATTCCATTTTGTAAATACCACGTAAGTCCATTAGACTAAATCTAAGAGTATAGAATTTTAGTGTTCTTACTTCTCATGTATCTTGTAAGAACTTACTGCTTCATCATTACACATTATTACTAACTCACACATAATTCACAACTATGCTAAAAAAAGACGAAAACAGGTCAGGCACAGTGGCTCAAGCCTGTAATACCAGCACTTTGGGAGGTCAAGGCAGGTGAATCACCTGAGGTCAGGAGTTCAAGACCAGCTTGGCAACATAGTGAAACTGTGTCTCTACTAAAAATACAAAAATTAGCCAGAAGTAGTGGTGTGCACCTGTAATCCCAGTTACTCAGGAGGCTAATGCAGGAGAATTGCTTGAACCCGGGAGGCAGAGGTTGCAGTGGCCCAAGATTATACCTGGGAAACAGAGTGGGGCTCCATCTCAAAACAAACAAACAAAAAACACACGCACAGACACAAACACAGACACAGACACAAAAGAATAAGTGAACAAATAATGCATTTTTTTTTTTTTTTTTTTTTTGCAATGGAGTCTCTGCTGCCCAGGCTGGTACAGTGGGCGCAATCTTGGCTCCCTGCAACCTCCACCTCCAGTATTCAAGCAATTCTTCTGCTTCAACGTCCTGAGTAGCTGGGACTACAGGAGCACACCAGCATACCCAGCTAATTTTTTATTTTTAGTATAGATGGAGTTTCACCATTTTAGCCAGGCTGGTCTCGAACTCCTGACCTCAGGTGATCTGCCTGTCTTGGCCTCACAAAGTGCTGGGACTGCAGGCATGAGCCACTGCTCCGGCTGCATTTCTAAGAACAAAGAAGAAACAGTATTCTCATCCAGGAACAATGCCATCAAAGATGTTTTTTAAGAACAACCTAGGTAACCTCATTTTGTTAACAGGCCTAACAATATTCTTTCATGTTTTATGATACTTCAGCATCACAACTAACTTATCTGATAAAAACAAGTTTGTAAAAAGGATTTAGTAAATATTAGGTTGGTGCAAAAGTAATTGAGGTTTGTCATTAAAAGTAATGACAAAAAATTCAGCAACAATGTAACACTAAAATTTCGTTTTTCTTTTTTTTTTTTTTTGACACAGAGTGTCGCTCTGTCGCCAGACTAGAGTAAAGTGGCGCAATCTTGGCTCACTGCAACCTCCACCTCCCGGGTTCAAGCAATTCTTCTGCCTTGGCCTCCTGAGTAGCTGGGACTACAGGCATGCACCACCACACCGGGCTAATTTTTGTATTTTGGTAGAGATGGGGTTTCATTATGTTGGCAAGGATGGTCTCTATGTCTTGACCTCGTAATCTGCCCGCCTCAGCCTCCCAAAGTACTGGGATTATAGGCATCACCCACCATGCCCGGCCTAACATTAAAATTTCTAATAAATTTCTTCTCCACTGTCTCTTTATTGTATGTCATATAAATGACATAAAAATATTTAAAATACAAAGGCTCCACTGGACCCAGATGATAATGGTGATGGCTTTTTTAGTAAAGGCGAGGTTTCTCCATGTTGGTCAGGCTGGTCTCAAACTCCTGACCTCAGGTGATGCACCAGCCTCGGCCTCCCAAAGTGCCTGGATTACAGGCGTGAGCTACCATGCTTGGCTGGTGATGATTATTTTACTAGGTAGACTGAGGGTTAGGTACACCTAAAATTAATTCTCCTGACATTGGGAATCCTAGTAATGTGCTAGGAATGGTGCTCTGATACTTGTTTCTTTTTTTTCTTTATTTTTTTTTTTTGAGATGGAGTTTCGCTCCCATTTCCCAGGCTGGAAGATCTCAGTTCCTCGCAACCTCCGTCTCCCGGGTTCAAGCAATTCTCCTGTCTCAGCCTCCCGAGTAGCTGGGATTACAGGCTGATGTCAACACACCAGCTAATTGTTATATGTTTAGTAGAGATGGGGTTTCATCATATTGGTCAAGCTGGTCTCCAACTCCTGACATCAGGTGATCCACCTGCCCTAGCCTCCCAAAGTGTTGGGATTACAAGCATGAGCCACTGCGCTCAGTCTGGTACTTGTTTCTGATCTTCTTTTAAACTCATACCTCTACCTAAAACCAACTGTATTTGTCCTTCCATTCTTGTCATGAACAGAGTGAAAAGAGCCAGCTCTTCAGTTTCTCTCCCGGAGAAGATCTCCCAAGATTTTCTCCTTACCTTTATATGTTTATAAGGTGGTGGCTTCTTGTCATTCTTTCGGTCCTCCTGAAGCTGTCTTAGCTCTTTTTGGGCCTTTAATTCCTCAAACCTTGCTGCAGCTTCCTGAAGAGCTATGAAAACAGACAGCACGAGTCACTTTAAAATCTCTGGGTGGAATTATATATTTATTCATTTATTTTTAAATTTTTTCCCCTTTAAATTGGAGGAGAAACTCCATGCTTTACACAAAAATAAACCAATGTTATATGAAAAAGAAAACACATAACAGCTATTTTAAAACAGGTAACATAGTCCCAAGAGTATTCGGACCTAGTATTAAGACAAAACATAATCTATGACTAAATGGCACAATACAGACTACCAACCTTTAGATCACAGGTGTCCAACCATTTGAATATAAGGACCTTTTTGCTTTCCCGTGGTGGCTATTATGAAAATTACACATGACCTTTTTTATTTTTTAAGCTCATCAGCTATTGTTACTGTTACTGTTAGTATATTTTATTTGTGGCCCAAGATAATTATTCTTCCAGTATGGCCCAGGGAAGCCAAAAGATTAGACAATTGTGCATTAGATGAGAAAACAATCAACCGCTAAATGACTTTAAAAAGCCCACAGATACCATCTCCTAACAACTACATTGCATCTGCTTAGCGAAGTCACTGCCTTTAAGCCTTTAATCTTTCCTTAGTCCTAAACCTCCCACTTCCAGAAACTTTCTACTTCTTAGGTGCCCCAGGTATTGTGCTCACTCTCCTCTGGCAGAAATTCAAAGTTGAAGCTTTGTTCTCCTTCTTCCCTCTTCTCTTAAGACTTGTTCTATAAATATAAACTATTAGCTCTAATGAAATAATGGAATTTCATAGCTAATCTACACTTAAGTCCTGCACTTTTTTTTTTTTTTTGAGACAGGGTTTCACTCTAACACCCAGGCTGGAGTGCCATGGTGCAATCACAGCTCACTGCAGCCTCGACTTGCTGAGCTGAAGTGATCCTCCCACCTCAGCCTCCAGAGTAGCTAGGACCACAGGCATGCATCACCATGCCAGGCTATTTTTTTTTTTTTGGTAGAGACATGGTTTCTCCATGTTGCCCAGTCTGGCCTCAAACTCCTGGGGTCAAGGTATATATCTGCCTCAGCCTCCAAAAGTGTTAGGATTACATGTATGAGACACTGTGCCAGGCCACTGTACTTTCTCATGTTTAAAACGCTGCAATATCTAGCCAGGTGTGGTGGCTCACGCCTGTAATCTCAGCACTTTGGATGGCTGAGGCGGGTGGACCACAAGATCAGGAGTTCCAGACCAGCCTGACAAACATGGTGAAATCCCGTCTCTACTAAAAATGTAAAAATTAGCTGGGCATGGTGGTGCTCCTGTAATCCCAGCTATTCAGGAGTCTGAGGCAGGAGAATTTCCTGAACCCAGAAGGCGGAGGTTGCAGTGAGTGGAGATCACACCACTGTACTTCCAGCCTGGGCAACAGAACGAGACTCCGTTTCAAAAAAGAAAAGAAAAGAAAAAGATTGCCATATCTGAAAAGTCCAATAAAATCTTAAAATTCTCATTCTTCTGCACTTAAAACTGCAATGCATTATTCTTCACCCAAGTTAAAAACTGTGAGAATTCTATTCTTGCCACTTTCTTCTCTGTGCCTTTCCCCATGCTCTGTCAATCCTTTAAAGAATCTCTCCCCTCAGCCGGATGTGGTGACTCACGCCTGTAATCCCAGCACTCTGGGAGGCTGAAGCCATGGATAACAAGGTCAGGAGTTTGAGACTAGCCTGATCAACATGGTGAAACCCCGTCTTAAAAAAAACAAAAAACAAAAATAACAAAAAACTCTCCCCTCTGACCTATCCTGTTTTTCATTTCCTTGTAGCGGTCTATGAGAGTTTGTATGTGTTCCACACAATCATCTAAATTGTTCTAAAATGTGTTTTTCCCACATCCTATTATTCAGCATGTCCTAGTCTACCTCCTTAACATCTATCCAATATAAATCATATTCTCCATCTCCATGAACCATTCACCATTAGTCTGACTCTTTCTTTCTTTCTTTTTTTTTTTTTTTGAGACAGAGTCTTGCTCTGTCACCAGGCACCAGGCTGGAGTGTAGTGGCACAATCTCGGCTCACTGCAACCTCCAGCTCCTGGGTTCAAGCAATTCTCCTGCCTCAGCCTCCCAAGTAGCTGGGACTACAGGCATGCACCACCATGCCCAACTAATTTTTGTATTTTTTTTAGTAGAGACAGGGTTTCACCATGTTGGCCAGGATGGTCTTGATCTCTTGACCTCGTGATCTGCCTGCCTTGGCCTCCCAAAGTGCTGGGATTACAGGTGTGAGCCACCGCGCCGCGCCCAGCCTATTTATTTCCTTTTTTGGAGGGGGTGGGGGCAGAGTCTTGCTTTGTCTGTCACCCAGGCTGGAGTGCAGCAGTGTGATCTTGGCTCACTGCAGCCTCTGCCTCCCAGGTTCCAGCGATTTTTCCTCCGTCATCCTCCCGAATAGCTGCAATAACAGGTGCATATCACCATGCCCAGCTAATTTTTTTTTTTGTATTTTTAGTAGAGACAGACTTCAAAGTGTTGGCCAGGATGGTCTCAAACTCCTGACCTCAAAGGATCCACCTGCCTCAGCCTCCCAAAGTGCTGGGATCACAGACGTGAGCCACCGTGCTCAGCAGAACCTCATCATTTCTGCCCCAAACTACTTGAAACAGCCATCTTGCTCATTTCCCCACTTGCGGCCTCTCACCTTTTAATGGTCCCAACACTGTCCCAGGCTGAAGTTTCTAAAACTCTGGTCTAACAAGGGATCTAGTTAGATATTCATCCTTTCAGGAAAATAGCCCAGTGCTCCCCCAACCAAGTGCTTAAACTATACCAAATGCTTGGAGGTTGCTAACTCAGGATGTTATTAATAGATTCAACACATGTTTTTACATGTATTGACTTCTTGAGACATTTTAAGTCTTTTTCTTTTTGAAGTTGGTGTAGAAGTTAATTTAGATTCTGGCCCTACTATCAGAGTCAGAAACCTTCCTTTATCACTTACTGGTACTGAAATGTTGAGCAAGTTCTTTAACATTAATTTGTCTCAGTTTCCTCATTTGCAAGATCAGGATGGTATCTACCTTATAGGGTTACTGTTAGCACTTAAGCAGAAAATAAACACTGAACAGAGTCTGGCAAACAAAAATGATAACTATTATTATTATTCTTTCCCCAAAGAGTCACTTAGTAATCATCCATGACTTCCAAACATTGCTCCCCAGCTTCCTCTTGCTCTGTTCCCATAGCATATATAATGTACACTTCTGCCACAATACTAACAATACCAAAATCCTGGCAGGCTGGTATCTACTTCAGATTCCCGTGCAAAAACACAAGTTCCAAGAAGTCAGAGGCACCTAAAAACCCCCTGGTAGAATCTCAGAGCTTAGGCAGGCTCAGACCTGAGCTATTCCTTTTCCTCTACCTTCTCCCCCTGCCAGCCTCAGTGTTGGCCAGTTCTGTGCATGCCAAAATACTGGTCACTTGATCCCTGACCATCTGAGATTATAAGACTCAAGACCTCAGATCCTAAAGTATTAGTACTGATAGCACAGTATTATGTATTTTTGTATTAGCAGTAGAACTGATAGCCCATATCTCTGTATAGAAACCACATGACAAACAGGTTAAGTGAGGAGCTACTAAAATAACATGTGGCAAACAGAACCTTTGATAAACTTGTTCCCTATGGACATAACTCCTATTCCCTAACCAGGAAATTTTATATGCTTAGAATCTTCTTGCATGTCACTTGCTTAGAATCCCTTTTCATTTCACCCTACAGACAAAATCTTAAACAGATGCTCCTCATGTTAACAACTGGTTTACCTAGATGTAATCCCATCATAAGCTGAGGAATATAACAGATGTGCATCATCGTAAAGGTGTAAGTTGGACCATTTAAAGTCAGGAACCATCCGTACTTTAAGGACCAAATATATTAAATAGCAAGAGATATATTGTCTTTCAAAGGACAGCTACAGGAAGAAGGTAATTACCACTAAGGGGATACCAATTATGTACTCTGCTGTGTCACTTTTTATAATCCCACTGAATTTCGAGACCAAACTTTCTCCATTATCTGGTAAGAGAAAACCAGGTTCAAAGTTGATTCAACCACGTGGTAAGCAGTAAAACTAGTTCTGCTGATAACAGGGTACCCTGTTCTACCCAACTGTCTCCCCTGCCTTTACTAGGCCAGTTTACAAAAATTTCTCTTGATTCAGAGCATTTATGCTTTGACCTTTACTGGTTTGTTCCACAGTATCTGGTGAATTTTATTTCTTCCCAAAAAGCTTAAAAGAAAAAAAAGGAACAAAAACTAAACTCCTTGGAACGAATGCACTTCTGTGAAAGATCTGAGCCTCTGTGTTTCTTCTATAAAATCATTTCAGAACTCCATTATTTGATGGGATGCTGAGAAAACAACTGATAAGTCAAAAAAAAGCTCAAGGAAATTCTAATTAAGTAAAGGTTAAGGCTCAAATATAATGAGTTACATGGGTTAACTTCCCTGAAAAATACTATATTTGTAGCCACATAATGCTCCGAGAGGACAGAACACAGCTTCAAAATGGAAAATACGTGAATTCTAAAACAGAGCAGACACTCAGGCAACAGAGGTCTGTGTTAGCCTGAGAAACAAAAAGGATAAAGTTACCTTTTTTATATGTCCCATCCACTCCTTTCCCCATTTTATCCTTGCTGCTCACATCACCCTCCATGTAAGGGAAGACTCGGGCCTGGTGAGTCCACAAATAATCATTAGATCCAAAAAAGAGGACAGGGAACTCTCCCACATCATGTCTCATCTTATCAATGTTGGAAGGAACAGCTCGAGGATGACAGATCTCAGCTGGCCACCACCTGGAAAAGGTGAAAAGGAGAAGAGAAACCTCTAGAAGGCTGCAAGGAATTAGGAAAATAACCTCATATAAGAGTAAGGATTAGCAATGGCTGTCTGTCCACATTTAAGTCCATCTTAACAGCATTCTTACAACCTAACTAGAACACAAACAAGTAATACGTGCTAAAAGCTGGAAAACATCTGCCCACATTCCCACACATGCACACACTCCATTAGACTCAATTGTTCTACTTCAAGGACTCTACCTAAAGGAAATAATGAGATAGGAACAGAGACTTATGACAGTAACATTCACTGAAGCATTATAAGGAAAAACTGGCTGGGTGCAGTGGCTCACCCCTGCAATCCCTGCACTCTGGGAGGCCGAGGCGGATGGATCACGAGGTCAGGAGTTCAAGACCAGCCCGGCCAATATGGTGAAACCCTGTCTCTACTAAAATAAAAATTACAAAAATTAGCCAGGCATGGTGGTGCCCATCTGTACTCGCCGCTACTCGGGAGGCTGAGACAGGAGAAACCCTGGAACCTGGGAGGCAGAGGTTGCAGTGAGTCGAGTCGAGATCATGTCACTACACTCCAGACTGGGTGACAGAGCAAGACTCTGTCTCAAAAAAAAAAAAAAGAAAGGAAAAACTGGAAAAAATATAAATGCTCAACATCAAGAAAATAATAGTATTTACCCATGGTATACTATACAAAATAAAATACAATTTGGCCTTTAAAAAGGAAACCTTCAATAATCATTAGGAGTATGGAATAATAGCACCAAGATATCAAAACACAAACACATACAAACAAAATCAAAGAATGTAAATTAGTACACAGCCAATTAAGGGAGACAATTTGGCACTACCTATTAAAGCTGGAAACTACCTACTTTACTCCAGAGAATGCTCTAGAGAAGGCCCTGAGTATACAAACCAAGTATATACTGGTATGTAAGTATATTATATACAAGATCCCAAGTAAATATACCAAGAAAAACTGACCAAATGTTCGCAGTCCAAACAGGAAAATGGATAAGTGAACTAGACATTATGTGACTATATAAAGGAACAGTGAACTATGAATGAATCAGCATACTATACTATGATGAATCTCGGAGCATAAAAGTGAATGAAAAAAGTTGCAGAAAAATATATCAATAATAATTCCTTTACATAAAGGTCTAAAATATACCAAAGAAAACATGGTATATCTTCACGGAAGAGCAAAGGAAAAATCTAAAGTTAGTACAATGGTTACCTCTGAGGGGTAGGAAAGAATGGAATCAGGGCATGGAATAAACCTAAAAAGTACCAATAGTGTTCTATTTCTTTAAGTGGGTGATACATACACGGGTGCCACTTTTGTTATTCTTTAAAATCATGCATGTTACATTCTTTGAGCTTTCCATATTCAATCAAAATATTTTTAAAAAGAAAAAGTGGCTGGGCACAGTGGCATGTACCTGTAGTCTCAGCTACTCAGGAGGCTGAGGCAGCAGGATCCCATAAGCCCAGGAGTTTGAAGTTGCAGCGAGCAATGATCATACCACTGCACTCCAGCCTGGGTGACAGAGGATACCCTTTCTCAAAACAAACAAACAACCCACCCAAGACACAAAACTGAGTATAAACTGTAAAGATGTAGAGGGGGGAGGATAACTGTGTATTGGTATGTCAGGGAGTACATATGATGAAATGTTAATGCATCTGCCTTGTGAGATTATTAGTGTGTTTTCATTAAAAAATATTCCATAAAATACATAAAAGAAAAAAAATTTCCACAGAGAACATGTATTGTTCCTATAATTACAAATCATAAAGTTAGGTTTCTTTTCCTATAAGGAAAAAAATGAATAAGAGGAAAAAAATGAATAAAAAAATGAATAATTCATGAAAATGAATTAGGTACCTTGCCTAATTAAGAAGATCATTAGAAAATATGTTAAGCATTGTATCTGAGAAGTCCCAAGAAACAGAGGATGGTAAAAGAAATAAGTGCTATTCTCCAGGCTTACCTGTATCGTCCAACTTTTACCCAGACAATCTCCCTGTAGTGTGGCTTTTTGCCTGCCTTACAGTCATTGCAATACCAGTTTCCTTCAGGAATATCAATGTTCAGACATTCACGATGAAATGCAGCAGGGCAAGAGTCGCAGCACAGAAGGCTGCCTCCTGTAAGAATAAAAAAACATGGCATTCAGACCACAAGACTGCATTTAAGCACCCAGCTAAAACAGCTTTTGCTCAGCTCTTAACCAGCTAAGGGCTTATTAATTTAATTTGTTACCCAGAAAGTCTATGCTGAAGGAGTATTCCCACTTCAACATTCCTGAACACCACTCCCCTGAAAGCTTGTTAGATTCACACCTTATAAACATGAGATCCTACTGGCAAAATTAAGTTAAAGCAATGAAGTCAGAAGGAAACCTGTAAAAGTAATGTATGTGTACATTCATACATATATATACATTCTTTTTCTCTTCACTAAAAGACATACTAAATAAAAACATTATCAATGACACACAATGACCAAAGTATGAACAGCATAAGCTTTATTTAACTATCATCAGGCTCAGGTTGGAATTCTAGCTCTAGGATCACATGCCCTTGTGAAATTTACTTTCCTTGCAGAGCTATCATTTCCTCCGTGGTAAGGAGTTTTCTCTAATAAACAATAACCACATCTGTTTGAGAACTCACCTAGCTATTAAATCACCTAGTAGCATCTGACACATAAGTAGTATCTCCAAATGGTTAGTTCCTTCCCTCCTTGTAAAATTACTAACTTTTCAGTCGGGTGCAGTGCCTCATGCCTATAATCCCAGCACGTTGGGAGGCTGCAGCAGGTAGATCACTTGAGGTCAGGAGTTAGAGAACAGCCAGATCAACATGGTGAAACCCTGTCTCTATTAAAAAATTAGCCAGGTATGGTGGCACATGCCTGTATTCTCAGTTGGGAGGCTGAGACAGAATTGCTTGAACTTCGGAGGTGGACATTGCAGTGAGCCAAGACCGCAAGAGTGTACTCCAGCCAGGGTGACAGAGCAAGATTCTGAATCAAATCAATCAATCAATCAATCAATCATCAATCAATCAATCAACCAACTAAAAAGTAGCTACTAACTTTACAAAATACAGTAGTTTCAGCAGATAGGCAGACATTTTATTTTGCTGCCAAAAAGAAAGAAGACACGCTGTTGTCAGAAATAAGCATGCTTCAAACATGCTAGACTCAAACATATAATTCCAAGTTTTATCCTGAAGTGGGGAATATAGCCTTAGCAAAGAATATATCTGCGTTAATCTTGTTCTCACTGTGCTTCTTTTACCTCTTAAAAATCCTACTATAGAAAAAGGCAGGGGTCTCGGTGGCCAGAGAAAGAATAGGTGCAGGTGAAGGTGGTGGCGGTCAAGGTCATGAACTGTATCATGGAGGTGTCCTGTGGCCAGGCGGAAAGCAGCCAGAAGCCCAACGCCTAGGACATGATACCCAAAGATTACTACTTTGACTCCTACGTTCACTTCGGCAACCATGAGGAAATGCCGAAGGACGACACGTACACCTCATGTACTGCAATTCCCTGTTTCACAACCAGCACCTCTTCAAGGACAAGGTGGTGCTGGAAGTGGGCTCAGGCACAGGCATCCTCTGCATGTTCGCCACCAAGGTTGGGGCCTGCAAGGTCATCGGGATTGAGTGGTCCAGAATCTCTGATTATGTGGTGAATATTGTCAAAGCCAACAAGTTAGACCATGTGGTGACCATCATCAAGGAAAAGTTGGAGGAAATAGAGCTCTGGGTGGAAAAGGTGGATATCATCATTAGCGAGCGGATGGGCTACTGCCTCTTCTACGAGTCCATGCTCAACACCATGCTCTACACCCAGGACAAGTGGCTGGTGCCTGATATCCTCATCTTCCCAGACCAGGCCACTCTGTAATGTGATGGCCATCGAGGACTGGCAGTACAGACTATAAGACCCACTGGTGGGAAAACGTGTATGGCTTCGACATGTCTTGCATCCAAGATGTGGCCATCAACGAGCCCCTAGTGGACATGGTGGATCCCAAACAGCTAGTCACCAATACTTGCCTCATAAAGGAGGTAGACATTTACATCATCAAGGAGAAAGACCTGACCTTCACCTCCCTATTCTGCCTACAAGTGAAGCAGAATGACTATGTGCATGCCCTGGTGGCCTACTTCGAGTTCACTGCCACAAGAGGATTGGGTTCTCCAGCACACCTGAGTCCTCCTCCACATACTAGAAGCCGACGGTGTTCAACATGGAGGACTACGTGAATGTGAAGACAGGAGAGGAGATCTTCGGCACCATCAGCTTTCGGCCCAGTGCCAAGAACAACAGGGACCTGCACTTCATCATCGACCTGGACTTCAAGGGCCAGCTGTGCAAGCTATCCTGCTCCATAGACCATCCATTGCACTGATGCTCAGCTCTCCCACCCTGCATGGGCCCAGGGGCTGACTGTTCCTAGGCAGTTTCGGGGCTCCCCCTTCCTCTCTCTCCCATAGAAGAGGGCTTTAGGGGTCTCAGCTTGGGGGATGGTGAGAGCACATCGTGACTGTGTTTTTCATAACTTATGTTTGTATATGGCTGCATTTACGCCGACAAATCCTCAGCTGGGAAACAAACTAACAAAAACTCCTACTATAAACATACTTCTGTTGGCACTTTATATATAATTTCTTCCCATGCTGATTTTTGCTTTTTTTTTTTTTTTTTTTTTTTTTTTTTTTGTTTTTTTTTTTTTTTTTTTTTTTTTTTTTACCAGTCAGAGGTCTTTTATTTTTTAACACCTATTATGCCTGAATTCATAGGGAATAGGTGCCATCAGCTCAGGCTCCTTCCCATTGGTTCTCACTGCTTTCTGGGTAGAGCAGGCTGGTGCTTCAGTTGAACCCAGGTACCATTCTCTTTGGCTCTTTTCCTCATCATTTTCCTTCATGCGTTTCAGGAAGCTATCTCAGCCATTAGAGTGCTTAATGTGCTCAATTCATACATTAAATCTCATAGCAAGAATCTTGACCTTAACTTGTTTGCTTACAACAATGGCAACAGCATGCTGGGTAACACTGTAGATGCTTCCAGTTTTGCCATGGTTAACACTTATGGGCATTACTTTTTGAAACAGTACCCATTCCCTTGATGTCTACAATATCACCTTTCTTACAGATTCACGTATACATGGCCAAAGGAACAACTCCATGTTTTCCAAAAGGCCTAGAAAACATGTATCAGGTACCTCTCCTCTTTCCCTTTGTGTTCATCATTTTAGTGAATTACAGGAAAATGGCGGTTCTGGCTGAAAGAAACTTTTCTTAATAATTCTCTACAAAAAGCTCTTAAAATAAAGAGTGAGAATTTTATTTGTATTTGTTGGGGCCAAGGGTGTGCATTTCATATCAGGTTCCTACTTCAACTGGAAAAGCTCACCTTTGGTCTGTACTATATAATGAAGCTCAGAGTCAGAGTAAGATTACATTTGTAAATGTGTCTGCTGCTAAAAAACAAGTCTGAAGGACAATTATACAGTCCAAAACTCTACTTAGCTATTCTGGCACATTCTGTGGATCAATTGAGTAATCGTAAAATGGTACACTAACAGTGACATAAATTCAATTAGCCCAGTGGCAGAACACCTCCTGCAACATTCCTATCTATGCTCAGTTACCTGCTGAATTATAACTTTAGTCTGCTTACATAGTCTTAGGAGAAAAATCTTCCTTTCACTAAATTGGCATTCATAATGCACAAAGAAATATTTCGTGTACAGAGGCATTCAAAGAAGGATATAACACGAAAAGAAACCTGGATAAAAGAAAATCCAGTGAATAAAGGCAAAAGGTCAGACCTGAGGGGAAAAGTGGCAAGCACCTCTGTTTTGTGAGATAGAACATAATGTGGATTATGCTGAGGAAGAACATGAAGGAAGAAATCAACAGAACTACTCTGGGTAGCAAGATGTGCAGCAGGAGGAAAGGTCTATCTCGTGACACTAGAGGTAATATACAAGAGAAAGTCAGAAGATCAGGAAGATAGAAGAGGGAAAACTGCATGAACCATTAAAACAAAGATGAAATGACAGACACTTGGTGAAAGAGAGAAAGAAAGAGAAAATACATTTTAAACATACTGCTAAATTGAAAGGATCCGATTCCTTACAATTTGCAATTTACCAAATTATTATCCTACTACTCTGGGTTAACAACCTTCAGTTCTCTCCTTTACACGAGAGGAAAAAAGGTTTTAAGGCTATTTTCTATCCCTGTTCACTAACCGCACGATAAACTTAGTTGATGGGAGTAGTCCTTGGGCTTTTCGGTCTCAGGCTTTCCTTGAATTTACAGGACCATATTATGCTCTCGAAAATTACCAAGAAACTCAAAGTGCTTTTGTTTATACAGGATATACATACAGATATTTGCTGAAGAGAAATTTAAAACTAAGAAAAATTTTAAGTATCTAAATACATTTTTTCTTATTTTTATTTCCTAGCTCCCGCAAACAGATACTAATAATTTATCCATTAAACACAATTAACATTTTAGTAAAAACTGTATTTTTCCTCAATTTTGTCTTGTTTTTGTCACCCAGGCTGGAGTGCAGTGGCATGATGTCAACTCACTGAAACCTCTGCCTGCCAGGTTCAAGTGATTCTCCTGCCTCAGTCTCCCGAGCCATGCCTGGTTAAGTGTTTTTTTTTTGTTGTTGTTGTTGTTGTTGTTGGTAGAGATGGCCTTCTAAAGTAATGGGATTGGGCGTGAGCCATCAAGCCTGACCCATTTTTGCAAATATTTTATTTTTTTTGAGACAGGATCTCGCTTTGTCACTCAGGCTGGAGTGCAGGCACATGATTTCAGCTCACTGCAAACTCCATGTCCCTGATTCAAGTGATTCTTTTGCTTCAGCCTCCTGAGCAGCTGGACCTACAGGAATGCACTACCATGCCTGCCTAATGCTTGTATTATTAGTAGAGACAGGTTTCACCATGGTGGTCAGGCTGGTGCTGGTCTTGAACTCCTGGCCTCAAGTGGTCCACCCACCTCTGCGTCCCTAAGTGCTAGGATTACAGGCATAAAACAACAACTACAGCCCATTTTGCCAAGTATTTTAAATTGCATTTGTTGCAATATGTTATTTGTTTGACATACATGAGGAAAATATGACCAAATTTTCTCAGAGATATATCACTGGAAAAGAGTGATAAAATAACCTGTTCGATAACTGTGGATATTCCTTCTTTGATACTATACTAAAACTAAAACTCCACAGTGTAGAGTTTAGTTGCAATACGGAAACTGAAACTCTGTCAACAAACTTAGAATGATTATATTAAAATTAATTGATCTGGCTTCTACTTTGGTTTGTTTGTTTGTTTATTTATTTATTTATTTGAGACAGAGTCACATTGTATCACCAGTGCAATCCGGGCTCACTGCAACCTCCGTCTCCCAGGTTCAAGCAATTCTCCTGCCTCAGCCTCCCGAGTAGCTGGGACTACAGTTGTAAGCCACCACACCCAGCTAATTTTTGTATTTTTAGTAGGGATGGGGTTTCACCATGTTGGCCAGGATGGTCTCAATCTCTCGACCTGGTGATCCACCCGCCTCGGCCTCCCAAAGTGCTGGGATTATAGGTGTGAGCCACCAAACCCTGGGGATCTGGCTTCTACTTTGAATGGATCTTTTAATATGCAAGGTTTTTAAGATTATGCTTTAGCTATATGAAAAATATTGGTTAAGTCATGTGCATCTTCTAAATGGCCTATTTCATAATACTTTTAAAAATCACATTTATTAATACTACCCATCAGTAAGTACTAAGAAGTTGTCAGGCTGAAGGCAGTAGATAATAGTTTGCCAAAATTTTAACTGTCACTTAAAAGCTCAAATTTTATCATTGGCCATTATTTTGCAGTTGTTTTTCTTGAATTGATAGGCTCACAGTTGTTTATTTTCAAGTAAACATCTGTCAAATATACAAGCATGAATAACCATAGTTTATCAGTAACTCTTACAATTAAAAATGGTGTTCCATGAACAATGCAGATAGTTCACCTTGAAACTCAGTTGCATGAGTGCTTTAACTCAAGATAACCATCAGTATGCAAAGAAACTGCTTTATATGTACTTTCCACTTTATCACAGAGAATAGGAAAACAATGTTCACCTCATGGTCAAGATTTAATAAAACTAAGGTGTTTTACTTCAAGAAACTTCCAAGGTGAAACTGCCATGCTTTTACTGTGAGTAGGTGAAAAAACAGAATACAATGATGGCTTACCTATATTGATCTGGTGGTACTACCTTGGTTTATACTAAGGTGGCAGCAGTTTTACCCATTCATTGACTCTGCCTAACTGCCAGATTTCAACCAAGTGAAAAAAGTTTCCACAATTAACTAAACTCCAGTCTCTGGCTATAGGAACAATATATCACAAGCAAGTAATTTTTCTTTTACAGAATTATTGGCATATACATACACCTGACGATACAAATCTCCTTAGTGATGTGAACTCAAAATATGTGATACCATTCTCAATTTAGAAAGTTTATTTTGCCAAGGTGAAGGACATGCCCTTGACACAACCTCAGGAGATCCTGGCAACATGTGCTTAAGGTGGTGAGGGTACAGCTTGCTTTTATATACTTCAGGGAGATATGAGACATCAGTATATGAAATGTTGTCACTAGTTATGTCTGGAAGGTGGGACAACTCTAGGTAGGGGGTTGGGTTCCAGGTCATAGGTAGGTAAGAGACAAAAGGTTGTATTCTTTTGAGTCCTTCATCAGCCTTCCACTGAATACACAATTTAATCTGGCTCAGTGAATCTGCATTTTTACATAATCAATAGGGCAGAGGAAGCAATCAGGTATGCATGTGTCTCAGATGAGCAGGGAAATGACATCCTGTCCCACCTGTGAATATAAGTGGTTTCCACTGCCAGGGTGAAATTCAACAGAACTGTTTTAGGATAAAGATCTTAAAGCCTAGAAGGAACTTCCTTGAGGGCAAATTGTGAGGGTGGTATATAGGTTTTTAATCTTTGCAGTTGTTTAATTATTATTATTATTATTATTATTTTGAGACAGAGTCTCGTTCTGTTGCCCAGGCTGGAATGTGCAGTGGTGCGATCTCAGCTCACTGCAACCTCTGCCTCCTAGGTTCAAGTAATTCTCCTGTCTCAGCCTCCCGAGTAGCTGGGATTACAGGCACCTGCCATCACATCTGGCTAATTTTTGAATATTTAGAAGAGACAGGTTTCGCCATGTTGGCCAGGCTGGTCTCGAACTCCCGACCTAAGGTGATCTACCCACCTTGGCCTCTCAAAGTGCTGGTATTACAGGCAACAGGAGTGAAATGCTGTCTCAAACAAAAAAAGTTCTGCTATGTTACCATTACTGTAATTCAGGACATCATATTCTGCATGAAAGAGTAACAGTATCATTTCCTAATATTTTTTTCAGCGACAATATGAAGATAAGTATTTTTATTTCAATTAAAACACTGATTTAATTCCTTTTTGGATTACAAATAGAGGAAGAAGTGATTTCTTACCTTCTGAGCACACAAAGCACCAGCTAACATTAACATGCTCATGATTTCGGCAGCCCCGCCTAGGAGTAAAGTGATTAGGGCAGATGATACTATTAGATGCAAGGATCTTTGACCCAGCAGCCAGGCAAAAGTCATTGGCGTGGTATGCCACAGGACAGCGGACACAGCGCATCAATCGACCTAAAGCAGGAAAATCACGGACAAGCAAAAGAAAAAAAAAATTAAATATGAGAAGAATGTGAGTTATTCAAGTCTATTTGCTAGCATTGAAAAAATGTCACAAATAAAATGAATGACCACCAAGACGACTGACCTTAAACACTCGATCCACCATGAAAGCTCAGATGAGGGATATGTGATAAGTCTCCAAAATCAATCAAATCTCGTAACTGTCAGTGAGTCTACTTCAACAAGGGTAAGCCCAGCCCAAATCACTAGCCTCACTCCTCGGAAACAAGCCCCAGAATAAACAGGGAGAGGGGACATAACAATAACGCTTGCCTGGAACTCTGTGATTCTTAACACCTTTCAAGTGAACAAACTTCACTACTCCCTCTCCAGAGGAAATACATCCCCTAAAATACTTCATCTGTTATAAACTGGCACCAAACAACCACCAAACCCCACAATGCAATCTGTAATAGCAATTAAAAAAGGAAGGTAGCCAATAGTTAAACCACAATTCTTTTCATTTTTCTTTTTATTAATAAAGACATGGGGTTTCCCTACGTTGCCAAGGCTGGATGTGACCTCAAAGTACTTGTGCTCAAACAGTCCTCCCACTTCCTGCTTTAGCTTCCCAAGAAGCTACAGCTACAGGCACACCAACATATCCAGTGAAACTGCAATTTTGATCCAAGTTAAATTACTGATGAGACCCATACGTCCAAGAAATCATACTAAAAAATGTACTGACAATCTGATTAAAACAAACATCAACACTGCTAAATTTTGCCTGCTCAATCCTCTATGGAAAAAGTCAAGGCTCTTTTAGCACACACGAATTTACCAGCATAAACACAGTATTGGGCTTTTAGGGAAAAAAAAAACAACAGTAAAACACCAGGCGTGTTGGCTCACCTGTAATCCCAACAGTTTGGGAGGCCAAGGTGAGTGGATCACCTGAGGTCAGGAGTTCAAGACTAGCCTGACAAATATTATGAAACCCCATCTCTACTAAAAACACAAAAATTAGCCAGGCGTGGTGGCATGTGGCTGTAATCCCAGCTACTTGGGAGGCTGAGACAAGAGAATCACTTGAACCCAGGAGGCGGAGGTTGCAGTGAGCCGAGATCATGCTATTGCACTACAGCCTGGGCAACAAGAGCAAAACTCTTTTCTTTTTTTCCTTTTTTTTTTTAAAAAAAAGGCCAGGTGTGAATTCCAGCACTTCGGGATGCAAAAGCAGGTAGATCACTAGGTCAGGAGATAGAGACCATCCTGGCCACATGATGAGACCCCATCTCTACTAAAAGTACAAAAAATTAGCTGGGCATGGTGGCACATGTCTGTAGTCCCAGCTACTCAGGAGGCTGTGGCACGAGAATCGCTTGAGCCTGGGAGGCGGAGGTTGCACTGAGCCAAGATTGTGTCACTGTGCACTCCAGTCTGGGCAACAGAGCAAGACTGTCTCCAAAAAAACAAAAAGAAAACAAACAAAAGAACCCCACTGTTTTATCAAAGAGAACACATTTCAAAACTTAAGTTTAGCTATATGCACAGGTTTTGAAAAACTCAGGTCTGGACTTAACAACGAAGCAGAAGAAAGTTTCTAAGACAAGAGTTTTCCTTAAAACAAAACAAATCAACACAAAACCTCCAATCCTGCCTTGACATGCATTTTTGAATATCACACATAGAAACCAGAGATATAAAAATGCCCTGGGGAAGAACACACTCTGATTTTCTAATCAAACAGGAATAAGAGGACATGCAGCAGAACACTTTCTCAAACTACATCTCACATGAAATCCAAATACTTAATACCCTACCACATAACCACATTGTGTTTGATGGAGCCCTGGCATTGCCTGGCTGCTGAATTAGTTCATTATTCCCCTATGCTCTCCCAAATATAATGTTGGTAATCTGATAAAAGTGAGAGGCCATAAAGTGACATGGTAGATTGCATTTGAAAATAACTGTTGCCAATGAAACTGAGGTATTATAATTAGACTGGTCCACATGAGAAAACCATACCTTTAGATGCAGAAACATTGGCTGGATTAGCAGCATGACAGGTTATACAGATGTGGAGGGAGCACCGGAAGCCCTTGTTCTGCATAACAGTGGGTGGGTACTTCTGGACACACTCTTCATGGTAAAACTTTCCACACAAGGGTAGAAGGCACCTTTTAACATCTTCCCCACTCTGCTTACATACAAAACAGGTATGAATTCCTGAGAAACCAAAAGAAGATAAATTAGTAAGAATTCAAGAATCGGCCGGGCGCGGTGGCTCACGCCTGTAATCCCAGCACTGTGGGAGGCCGAGGCGGGTGGATCACGAGGTCAAGAGATGGAGACCATCCTGGTCAACATGGTGAAACCCCGTCTCTACTAAAAATACAAAAAATTAGCTGGGCATGGTGGCGCGTGCCTGTAAT